TTTAGAGCGATCTGACTTGGGGAAAGCCCCCAAATTTTTGGTTAGAATTTTGAAAATTGTATTTACCAAGTGTGGATCTTTGTTTCTGGTAAGTTTCAGCCATGTAACTTATGACCATATTATTAGCCCCGTGAGGCGATATTGGGCGTGGTCTGACTTGGGGAAAGCCCCGGAAATTTTGGTTAGATTTGTGAAATATTTACTCCGACTATGGATACCATTGTCCCTACAAAGTTTCAGCCATGTAACTTATGACCTAATTTTAGGCCCCCTGGGGCCTACTTTAAGGTGCTGCTGCGGCTATACGCCCCAGCAGTGCCCGATCTGACCAACTGATTTTTACTCGTACGGACACCTGCTACGAATTTGGGTGTTCAAACCTTTTGTAACTGATGACCATTTTATTTTGTCATTAGCTCCTGGACTATAACAAACGGATCCACGTTCTCAAAGGCAAACGAGTGCACTTTCTTTCACCGTACATCAGTCTATATTTTTATCTAAACCAAACATGTATTAAGTATTCCAGCCACCCATTAATAAATCTCTTATCTAAGTTTTCATCACGTGACTTGCACACACTGGAGAGCAGACGACATATCAGAACCTATTGTTTTAATAACCAGACTAGAGAGTACAACGTGACATCATCTCAAATTGCACATTCTTAATCACTTCACGTGAACAATTTAAAGCAAAATTTAATGACACAAAATAAAATACATAACGCGTGAAGTTATATAAGATTATACATTTTAAAGCAACAATATACGCAATCGTAATATACTAAATCGGCAATTAAACGGCGGAACAAGAAGATGGCAGAGGCTAATTCAATAATTTCATGGGAAATGAACAGTGACAACGACAAATACAAGCTGAATTGGATTCTTGTGACTCGGGGAAGTTTTCTTGCGATTTAAAATTTTTGAAAAGGATTTGATGCAAACTTTTGATAGATAAATTAGTTTGAGTACATACGTTTTTATTCCAAATATATCATCAAATCACACAGTTTATACGCTGACATTTAATTATAATACTCTCGAAAGGTTATACAAGTTTAAAAATGCATACTGAAATGAAATGAAATGGGGTTTAATGTCCTGCCTTTCTGTGCGGACGGGACATGAAGACGGACGTACGCCATGCGGTGTGCTATGAGGGAAATGCGGCCTCCACTCTTATATCATATTTCAACTGCCAAGGGTTATTTTACGTGCACGTCAATGTGTACACGGTTTCTCTACTGGTGACATTGGTATTTTTAAATGCACCATGTACTTTGTTCATATTATAGATTCTGAATTATCGGAGGTTTCATAAAATTGTAGAAAAAAGAACAAATGTTTTAATAATTTCTAAGCAGTAGTCTAAATGTAATAAACTAATGGATTCATATTAGTTAATGGGATTCTGTTCATTCTGCAACACTGATTTCTTATCCTATTTGGAAGTGGGCAGAAAATCATACCAAAATAGGATAGTTGATTCACGCCAGACAACTTGGTGTAGAATAGCGTCAAGAACGCAAAACCAAACATGTGATAGTAAGCAACAGAGCAATCGTTAAACGTATGATTGTTCAATGTGGCAATTTCCCTACTCCGCCTTACTGCAGTTTTGAATATCAAATATGCGCTACTTGAGGCCAAAAGAACTATTTCACACTTTTTGAACAACTAAAATAGTTTTATGTAAATTATTATCTCTACGCTTAATGAACGTGTGTGATGAACGTGTGTGAATCTCATAGAGGTCACGATTTTAGTAAACTGGTAAACATTTAGAATTTTGTCTTCATAGCATTAGGTAATATTTGTATGTCTTGTTTTGGTGACAGTCAATACCTTTGATATCTACAACTGGTTGTACACTATTTGCACTGTGGCGCGTAACTATTTCCAGCATCATCATCTCTCTTGCACACTCAAGCAATGTGCCAATCATTATCCCACACTGATCAACAGTGAATTTTCGCTAGGCCGCTACAATAATCACTGATAAGGATGACATCGATGCGACTTAATGAGCCAGAAATATTAACTTTTTTCCTGCGACAAATTAAATTCCAAAACATTTTTTTTATGTATTAGAAAAATAAATAAAGGCGTTTTTGTAGTTAAAAATTATTTCCTATTTAGAGCTAATGGGTATTAATTGAGTAAAAAGTCTCCATTCTGCCCGAACTAGAACGTCTTATGTAAACAATGCACGCGCCATTGAGCCAATGATTGACGCCGCGTGATGAGATAGTCATCCTTTACAGAGATATTAGAAGACTTTCGTAAACAGATTGGCATTATCCTAGTCTCGGTCACCCAAAACCTCCTAATCTTCAACGTACGGAGGGTCTGGGACCGTTGTCCATGCGTTACCGAGAGTTTGCTTTGTTATGTGGTTGTTTATCCAGTATTTTTGGCAAAGTCAAGTAAGAGTTGCGCCCCTCCCCGCAATAAATCCCATAATTCTTGCATTAATATGAACAAACATGAATCGTGACGTCGAATTAGGATTATTTCTACGCATTCAGGCTAATATTTTCAGTTCAGAAGAAATATTCGGTTAGATCTATTTGATAAGGCCAACTTCAAGTTTGGTTCAAGGTCACGAAATGTAAACAGGGCTAGCGCTAATCCAAACCCTAGCCCTAACCTTGGACCTAGCCCTAATGCTAACCTACAATCTCGCCAACAATCACGTGCCTAAACCTTATTTCCATCTCAGCGACCTTGGCCAAAATTGAGCTGGCCTTAACAAATAGACCCTATCTTTGAGCTCGTTGTCAACATGTAGAGCGAAGTGACATTTTGAGAGGATTTAGCCTACTTCTGTTCAGTCATTAAACTAAGTAGCCTAATAACCTCGGCGGATGTAGGTAAACAATTGATTGTTTTCATGTGGTCTTAATGAAACATTCCTCGGAGATTCAAGTGGTCTATAGTAAAGCATGAATTATTGTGTAGTTAAAGGAAAAACACATGGACATAAGTGACTCAATTTATATTTTAATAACCGGTGGTTACGAAATCACCCATATTGCCAGACTGTTTCAGACCGACCAGGCGCTATCAAAAGTACTGTTATTAAAAACAATTTGGTGTAAACATTATTAAAATCGACAAATTCTAACTTAAAGGGGCATTATGGGAGATTAAATAAAGAATTGACAGTTATCGCTACAAAATGCAGCATATTCCCTTTACATTATCTATTTTTTAAAATTAATATAGCCAGCCCCTTATCTAGTCTTCCATAATGTCGCTTTAAATTTTACATTGGCTTCTATTAATTTTACATAAACATTCTCAATTATACTAGACAATTTTTTTAAAATAACGTAATAATAATTCATTTATCTTATTTCAGACGCGCCAGACTATTTTCATGGAGGTATTTTTAAAAACTTGGATTTGCTCATATTGATTACGTAATAACAAGTCTTTACATTGATGTGTACCGCCTAGAAGGGGATAATAATAGGTAAGGGGATAATAATAGGTGTACCGCCTATAAGACGGTAAACGGCAAACAAGTTTTTACCCGTCGGTAAATTTATGACCCCCTCGCCCCATCATATGGATATAAAGGCCCACTTTCCAGAATATGCATATCTTATGGTACGATGCGAGTGTTTCAAGCTCGGTTATCCATAATATCTTAAAATATTATTTTCTTTTTGTAGAGTTATCTCGATTGTCCCTGGATTTAAAACTCCCTTTTGCGTGGTGAACCTATGTTTCGCTAGGGTTAGGGTTAGGGTCTTGTAAACTGACTTTAATAAAAAGCCACGTGTTTACCCCCTTATATAGGCGGATTTATTTCGTTGTTATTATCCCCTTCTAGGTGGTAACAATGTTGAATCAGGTGCCCCTATTGGTGCAGAAAGGTCGAACGTTATACCCAATTTTATTATTTGCATAGTAATTCGTATCCAAGTAATAGACCCGCTAACGGAATGTTCTTAAGACTAGGTAACAGGAAATTATAGATAAGTTTTTGCTCGCGTCAGCCAAGTTAAAGATTAATCTATAGATTCAGCCTTCATAATAATAATAGCACCTTTCTCTGACTACAAAATCAATTTCATATCTGTCTTAGTCTCTTCCTGTATGACTAAACTCATCCTCTAATGTTTTGTACTTTAAAATGCTCCAAGATGTTTTGATCAAAAAACATTATTTTCTCCTAGTTCGTTCGTTTTCAGTTTTATTAAAATCAGGCGTAATTCCGATTAGTTTTACTTTTTATATTCCGTGTTATATATATTACACGAGTATATAAAAACAAAACTAAAAAAACACGAAACGAAATTACAATTTGTTACTTCGATCATAACTATATCAGGGACTAGGTTGAATCGGTGTAGCACGGCACGGGTACAGCCATGAACCATAACCAGACCTATGTTACTCCGCAGTCCAATCAGTTACCTCTAACACCAAATTTCAGCCTAGGGAAAGCCCTAGTGTAGCCGCCAACTCTGAACAGAGGAAGAAACGACAGTCACAGATATCAGTATAGATTATCACATGCATGGTTGTAACGCTTCATGCAAAATGAAATTAGATACACAAATTACATAATAAATCCGAAATACATAAACCAATACGTTTCCGCTCGAGTGGTCATACGTTCAAACACTTTGCAAGTGTGTATACGTAATGGTGTAATCTTTAGGTGGCTTTTACCGATAAAATACAAGAGAATTTATATGGAAAACTGGTTTGTACAAATAAAGCACGACATTTAGAGACAAGTTCACATGTCGAAACGTCCTGGTATATTTGTATAAACCAGTGAATGTTTTCCATATAAACTGTGTTGTGTTTTACATATGGCGACTATACAAGGGTTATCTTGAAGTATCTGGTTAGATATAAGTGTGACAAGAAATGTAATTTTCGCGGTAGTTTTGGTGTGATTTCCAATGTATTTCGAATCATGACTGTCGAGGAATGCATATAATGTCACATTTCTTAATGTAAAAGTAAACTTACCACAATAGTACTGTTGATACTCCTGGCTGGCGATGATTTGAAAGAAGCCCTGGCTGGCGATGATTTGAAGGAACTTCTACCTGGCGATGATTTGAAGGAACTTCTGCCTGGTGACGATTTGAAGGAATAATTGAATTTAGCTACGGGAGATGGAGGCACCGATGATTCGTTGGTACTAGACGTGTAGCTTCCAGCCGATCGCGTTCGTCGTACGGAGGTCTTTCGACGAGGCTTCCGCACCATCGTCCCTTTCCTCGTTAACATCGACATGATGATCAAAAGTCACTAATAAATTCTCGTTCCTGTTCGTTGGAATTTAATCTGGTACGTAGTTAGTTCCATAAGATCAGTCAAGCCGAATCATAACCCTGTTTGATTGCAATCTTTTCTCTATGATGTGTTGACATCTTGGGTGTCTCAATGGTTGTCGCTGGTAGATGTAAGCACTTCAAACACCCTATAAAATAAATCCCCATCGATTTATTAACACCGTTTATAAAAGATGTTTTATTTCATTTTAACTGAAGACTCAACGGATGTGGCAACATTTTAATCCTATTATTGATTCCATGACTGGTGAAGTTCTTATTTTTTTACAATCTTCAAAACACAATACAAAATTGATTAATTTAGTTTTCTTAAAATAAGTACATTTTAAAACTATAAATTAAAGACCATTCTCTTAAACTCGTTAATTTGTCGCAGAACAAACACAGTAAAAAACGACCAACAGAATGGTAGTTGTAGCGTAAAGGTTACGATTATAAAACACAAACATGAACGTAAAGAAACTCAAGTTGAAAAGGTTAATTGGAGAATCTTGAGTGTTCACGCTACATATTAGCTTAACGAAAAACAATAAATCCATACGCTAATTGGATATTTCGAAAAGAATGGTGTTATTAATTTTCGACAAAAATAGTCTGTTTATTAACAAATTGTTTCATCTTCGAGTTAAACATGTCAACGATATATGTTATTTGTTTGTTAGTTTCTCCTGTATTCGTTGGTAAACATGTTCCCTGATTCAAAGTGATTTGTTGAATCTAACTTAGTAAGAAAAAGAGGCATTAGTATTTCTGAGGTCTTCGTAGGTTCGTAAAAAGAATAACTTTCGATTTGTGTCGTTTTGATTTTAAGGCAATACCGTTGTTGCGCGGTTTTACGAAGTCCCCGGTTTGGCTGAGTACTATAATTTTTTTAGCTTTGACATTTTTTTTTTTGTTTTTTTTTTTTTTGTTTGTTTGTTCAAGTATAATCGGGCATATAATACACAATAATTATAATACCCAACAAACTTAATCAGGCCTATATTGATAAGTAAAAAATAAATATGTACAAAATCAAGTGAAGTTTTTAACGTCCGGCCTTATGCACTAAATTTTGCGAATGAAGACGGGTATACACTGTAAAAAATAATTATGTAAAAAAAACAGAAAAAATCTGACAACAGATTTACCAGATTATTTATTCTGTAAAATTTTTTTTTGTTTGTTTGTTGAAAATTTCTGTTAAGTCACAGTAGCTTGTTGTTGTAAAACAGGTAAAATTACAGGAAAAAATCTGGTAAATCTGCTGTCGGAAGATTTTCTGTTCTTTAACATAATTGTTTTGATTAAATATAAAACAAAATCATCTGTAAAAAATAATCTATTTTCTGTAAATGTAATTTTTCAGTCATGAATTTAAAAAAGTATTAAAAATGAACAGATATTACATGGCTTTAAAGTTTGTGATTACTGAAAGATGGGTTTACTACTTTCTACTTCTTCTTGCTATTTGTTTTATCTTCAATACAAACCTGAAACAAAATAATGAAACACATACACAAATATGAAATTAAAAGGTGTTAACTTTCCTGCATATGTCATGGAGTATCCTATCAGTGAAATCTTGCCAAGGCAGCGGAGATAGGGCTTACGGTTCTTTAACATGTACTGTCAATAGCACACAGGACCCCAGTTGTCAGTCCAAACTGAAACTTGCACCATTGACAAGGAAGCTGGAAAACAAGCATGGGTAGCTTTCTTGGCCAATGGCTAATAAGCCAGCATCATATTCACCGAGCCAACGCGTCTCTTACACATTAATAATTTACATGGTCAATTTCAAATATTTCTACAATACAACACGCTATTGTATTAATCACAGATTCCAAACAAAACAAAGCAGCAAACTAAACAGACAGTACAGAGGCTGTGTCTTTAAATCCAATAACATACTCAGTATCTACCTAAGCTGTAGATTTGCCTTCACGCCTACATATTATTAGGAAGACTTACCTTCGCGTCTTATTGTTGATTTCCCTCTGTTCTTTTTTCTGCATCGTCAGCGCACATTCGAACATTCACCGCCATAACTGAATCCAACAGTATAACGTTGTGAATTAACAGAACAGTGCCGTTAATATAAAAGTTATTCAGGGATATTACAGGTCTTTTGATTACTAATACAATTTATATTGTAAATACACAGATCCCATCATTTAACATACTGAAAAGTATGTAAAAATACCGACGTTTCTGTCCACAGAGATGCAACTAAAACAACAGATTTTATGGTAAAAATACGAGTTATTTATCTCAAATCACAGATATTTCTGTGATGATACGGATAATTTCCTTCACATAATAAAAACTCGGGATTTAAAAAAAACAACATATTTTTTACAGTGTATATGCGAGGAAGGTTTTGTCCCTTCATCGTCCCATTCGAGCGACTAGATGCTGTTCCCTTGCAAATCAGTCCATCCTGTACATTGACAAGGGAAACCACGCTAAAACGAATCCCGAAGGACTTTCTCAGCCATCACAGGAATTTAACTAGGGCCGTTATTATAGTTTGATGGTTCTTAAAATTTTTAGCCGGGGACTGAAGACAGAGTTTGACGCGTATTTGTATTTGGTATATAAAACATACTAACTGTTCGATCCCGGTATTGGCCGAGAAAGTTCCAGCTCGGTTTCCCCTTATCAGTGGTGCAGGACGTTGAGCCGGGCTAGGAACTGTGTCTCGTACGAAAATCTGAGGTACCTTGTACACCTTGGCAATTGGGATTTTCCCCCATAGCACACCGTATTGCGTATACCTGTCTCGATTACCCCGGTCGGTGCAGAACAATGGGACGTTAAACCCCAGTTCATTCCATTCATTTAAATCTACTTATTATACAACAAAGATTTAAAAGCATTGTATATGAAGATTATGTATTGTAGTCAATATTCGTCTAATGGAATAAATGGTTTTATGACTAAATCAGATTGTTAAAGTATCCCTGCCAACTCATACTGTAATCATGTTACTATTGTCAGCAATTCCATTATAGCACAGGGACACGGTGGTCTAATGGACGTTATCAACTGGTTTTAAAATCATGCTCTTTAAATCCTACCTTGCCGACCTATTGCTAAACTGACAAGCCGTGCGTGCGTGCGCGCGATGAGTTGGAGTATCGTTTGAGAATATTTATATTTCAATAATTGTCTTTATAATTGAGAGAAAATCGATGCACCGAGTGAATAGGCAGGGGACAACATTTATTTCTTTCCATGTACAAACCCTGAATCGAACCAAGGACTCGCATAGGTGTGATCTACAGCGTATGTGTTACACCACTCGGCCACACACCCCTTCACCACGATGTTGGAACGTCTCATGTATGTAATGGTCGACATCATTAGTCGACTCATAATGGCTATGATCACAAAACTAACATTCTTTAATACGAGTCAGTGTGGGTCCTTACTAATAGAGGGGGCGGGGCGGGGGCGGGGCGGGGGGGGTGTCCATTCTAACCCGGTGTTGGCCAATAAATTTCTATTGTCCAGATGTTTGTTTTTTTGTTGTTTTTTTTTTTGGGGGGGGGGGGAGGAGGAGGGGGGTAACCTTGCAAAGGACAGCTTCTAGTTGTTCGGATGGTCAAAACCCGAGGTTCCCTGTAACGTTGGCATGCGTGTAAAAGAACCCTTGACAGTTTCAATTCAGATAAGAGTAGTTTCAAAGATAAAATATACTCCAACTTGTAAACTGTCCCGGTGTTGTTCTCCTGGGTTGGCCTAAACTGCCCATACATCCACCTGCTCTCTGCTAATTAAGGTTAAACTGAAGGCCAACATGTTCCAGACTTAACGACCTTAGGTCAGGGCTTTTAGAAGATAAACAAACAACTGGATTATCTCTACCATTATAATAAACGACACAAGAAAAAATCATACTATCACGTGAATACAATGGTCTGAACAAAATGGGGGTGAATAGTCATATAAATATTTCCCTACAATTTGACTGAGAAATATTCCCCGTCATACTTTGGAAGAATGCGGAATGTTTTGTGAGCTTGTAAGTCAGGATTTCCCATAATTCATTGTGTAAATGATGTACATAAACGGCAAGACATTCATTTAGCTTACCATGTGCATAACTTATGTTATTTTGTCTAGGGTACAATGGGCACTCATTCGGGAAAACTTAAATGTCTTAAAATCTACTGTAACTTATAATTTGACCCTAATTTAAGATGAGCCATATTTCCCAAAGATTTTAAGTTCTGTCTCATTTCCCAAGATTTCCCAAGATTTCAAGATACAACCGATTTTACTTCAGCATACCCCGTCTTAACTTAAAATTACAACAAAATGGCTGCCATACGTCAGATGTTTGCTGGGTCCTGTGCGAATCATTACGGACCGCACGAATCCGTTAAAAGTACTCAATCCTTAGGAAATACGCCCCGCTATATTTTCTTATAGTCGAAGCGGAGAACATTTTGTTCTGAGTTGACCAGAAATATATTTGTCATATAAAATTCGGAAATTGGATTTGAACCGGGTTAGCAATCTAAATTAATTGAACGTTTCTGTCCGCGAGTACTCTTCAAAAAAAAAGTAGGGGATATTGAAATGCAAATACCTATGTAGGCTGTGATATGATAAATAGTCATGGACACTTGACATGCTTTGAGAGTATGTTCACAGATGAAGAACTTATCGTCCCAACAGAACCACTGAGCTGCGCGTGCGACACGCAATAGCGCCATACACGTGGAAGGGCTCATTGTCAAAGGAAGGGTTGATGAAAACTGCCGTGAGCTGGTTTATCCTGTCAACCAATTATCTAAATATAGACGTATGACGTCATGTATAAAATATTATGGGATAACTGGAAGTAATAAATCTCGTGCAGTTCAACGCTGTTGTCAACTTCTTGTCTCTTCACTAAACTCACTATTTTACCCTGTCTGTCCA